GGGATTTAAGTCCATTATACACCAGTTTCTGGCCCAGGTACTCCTTATTCCTACTGACTCCCCCTGCAACACCCCCATACTGCCAGTGCGCAAACCCTCTGGAACTTATTGCTTAGTCCAGGAACTCCGCCTAATTAATGAGACAGTTATTCCCATCCACTCGGTTTCCAACCCTCATGCTTTTCTTTCTCATATCCCCCTTTGACCATTCACTTTACTGTCCTGGATCTTAAAGCTGGCTTCTTTACAGTGCCTCTGCATCCTGACTCTTATTACCTCTTTGCCTTCACATGGGAAGACCTTATATTCTTTAGGTTTCAACAGCTGACATGGACAGGCCTACCCCAAGGCTTCAGGGACAGTCCGTACCACTTTGGTCAGGCCTTGACACAGGATTTAACTGTTTGTAATTTGGGGATAACACTCTCTTACAGTTGGATAGAAGCCTTCCTTCCTGCAGGAAAACTGCTGACACCATCAGAAAATGCTGACACTGTCGCCTCCATCCTCATTGAGCAGGTCATTCCTAGGTTTGAACTTCCTGCCTCCATCCAGCCAGACAACGGTCTAGCCTTCACTTCTCAGATTGTTTAACTAGTTTCCAAAGGCCTTAACAGCACTTGGAGGCCCCATATCCCCCCCTGACCCCAATTCTTGGGTAACGTTGAGAGGCCTAATGGCATTCTCAAGGATCATCTCACTAAACTTGCTTGAACTCAGACTGTCCTGGCCCAATCTTTTGCCATTGGTCCTCATCGAAATTCGAGCAATCCCTAGAGCCCCCTCAGGCCTTAGCCCCTTTGAGCTGTTCTATGGATGCCTTTCTTAATCAACTAAAACTTTCCTGTCACTCCTCCCCCCCCTTGTGTCCCACCTGCCCTATCTCATGCTTCTATACAAACTCCTAAGAACACGCACACTGGTGTCTTCCTGCACCATCTGTTACTTCTGTTCCAGCACAATCAGGAATTAAATCGGACCCTCTTCAACCAGGTGATGCAGTCTTACTTCAAGAGCTACATTCTCAGTCGTTGAAACCTCACCGGACAGGACCCCATATAGTCATATTTCCACCATGCTGGGGCCCACCAAACCCAGTTTCTCGCCAACATTCTCCTATTACTAATCACTCATCTCTCTCAAGCTTCTATCCCAACTCACAGATGGCGCCTCTACATCCAAGCGACATGGCAACAGGATGGCACCATCCGCTCTCAGTACATGGGCCAAGGCAACTGGCCTTTCACTGACTGTAATCAGGCCCTTAATGTTACTGGATTCAACTGGGCCACCTCATCCCATTTATGTTCAGCAAAGCTATGCTTCATAGCAGATCAAACTGAGGAGTCCTGTTGAAGCCATATCACCAGGAGGCCGCCCCACCTGCTGATGACAAGATTACTCCAGAGGAGCCTTAAGAGTCACCTTCTAGACCTCCCCTTTACTCCTGCTCTCCACATCCTAACTATCCTCTAAAGCTTCGCCTGTCTCGTGTAACCGCCCATACTCCACCATGATACTTGGAGATTCAAAGTCAGAGAGACATATGTCCTTGTTACACTAGTCTAGTTTCTTCAGTCGATTGCGCCCCTACAGGATGTAATGCATCCATCTTCCTTCCCCTCTCCTCCCAGAATTCTGAACTTTTAAAAATAGCCACTAGGCCTTACCTTTGCTTCTTATATGATCAGACAGAGGATTACTGCAAATGGTGACCCGAACCTATGGGGGATGCCCCTACTGGTCATGTAACGTTCATAACCCACATGCATGCATCGGGGATTCTGCATTGGAAATTTGAGATTGATGGGGGGGGGGGGCTAGGGTAAATACTTCCTTCTACTGTGACATATCCTCTCCCACCCACTGTGGCTCCATCTCCATCTCCCGAGAGCTTCAACCCTCCCAGCCCTCAGTAGCTATAATCCCTACTGACATAAAGCATTCCGAACAGCAGTTGTTAGACTCCATACAGGATCCATATAAGCCTAATGTCAGGAGTCCACCACAGTATTCATGGCTACGACTACTTACTGAAACTGTAAACTTCTTAAATCTAACCCTCCCCGCCATCATACCAACTGATTGCTACTTATGCGCCTCTCTGACTCGACCTTTGCTTGCAGCAGTTCCCTTGAACTTCTAGGCTTCTGACCTCTCAAATTTCTCCACTCCATCTGCCCGCCATTCTCTTGGAACCCTTTCACCCGACACTCCATTATGGGAGCCCGAGGAGTCTCACCATACTGTGATTCCCCGGAGCTGCCTCCTGGGCTTGGGTGTGTCCCAGTCAAAGTTTTGCCACTCTAACATCACCTTTAACTTCGCCCTCTATGAACCACCTGGCTCATTCTTCTGGTATAATGGTTCTCTCATCACTATCTTATTCACCAACACCTCTACCCATGTATACTGGTGACGCTTGTCCCACAGTTGATTCTCTATACCCCAGTTGAAGTGCAGGCCCTCTCGTCTCCCTCAGTGCAGAATAAGTGGGCTGCTTCCCTTCCAATACTGGTGGGTCTCTCACTGGCTGTATCTGAGGCGGAGCTCTAGGACACTCCTTATGGGCTGTACAGGACATAAGTTCTAAACTTGAACAAGCGCTCACTTCTATGGCAGAATCTCTAGCATCTTTACAAAGGCAGGTCACATCCTTGGCTCAAGTTACTCTTCAAAATCAACGAGCTATAGACTTACTCACAGCCGAAAAAGGTGGAACCTGTCTTTTCTTGAGGGAAGAATGCTGGTACTACATCAATGAATCAGGCCTTGTGGAAACTAATGTAGTCAAGCTCACCGACTTGGCTACCTCTTTGAAAAATCCACCAAACCAAAACCCATTTGCCACCTTCTTTTGAGCCCACTTCCAATCGTGGCTGTTGCCTCTTTTAGGGCCCATATGTCTTCTTTTCCTGATGTGTCTGTTCCTGCCCTGTCTGCTTTACTTCCTACAGGGCCAATTATGGAAGATCTCTAACCAAACTTTCAACCAGCTTCTGCTTAGGTACTATCAGCCTCTGACCAGTGAACCCCCAACATCTTCAAGAGAACAGCTCACTCATTGCTGAAGCTCACTACCAGGCGCGATGGAATGCAACGGACATCGGACAGTGGGAGACAACGAGCCCGGAGAACCTCTTAATCTGCCATCCTGGATTCTGAGCCTTTATGTCCTTTTAAGCCTCCTCATGGCCCTTGGCATCTTCTCTGTCAGTCCCCCGACATGGAACTTCTGCCAAAACCTGACGTTTGCTTTAATTTTTTATCTTCATCCTGCTTTTGTTTGCTCTGATCTTCTTCAGGTGGTGGTGACGCCATGTCAAGGCAACGCTTCCAATATTTCCTAGAGTCTCTGTTACAGGACCAGTGACTGATACCAACTATTTCCTCCATCCAGGACTGGTTCGATGCCATCCATGACTTGTGGTTTCAGGGAACTTTCATAGACTTCACCCCTATGGAAGTAGCTGTCTATAGCCACTGGGTTTTATTTCTGGTTGCCATGATCTCACCAGACCTGCCCCCCCCAACATTCCTCCACTTCCCCTTCTAGGCCCTCCCCGCACAGCCAGAAGCAGCCAGATCTGACTAACGATGCCCCAATTCCTAAGAAAACAAAAAGGGAGGAATGTTGGGAAAACATATAACGGCAGCAGCACCCCAGAGAAATACCCCAGCATGGTGTCTAACGACCCTCTTTCTCCTCTTTGTTTCTTTCACTGGCGCAAAACGTTCCCGACAGCGCCAACGTTCAAACCCTGCTAGTGGGACGCCTTAGCCCCAATTAGAATTAACTTCTTGGGCTCTGGAACCGACATATGGAAGAGCTTGCTAATAAATGGGTGACCTGTTATCTACCTCAGCCCTGCGACCTCTCCTTAGACCTATATAAACACACAGCCTTTTGTAATAAAGTGGGATCCTCTTTGGTGATCTGTGTTGTGTGGTGCGGCGTCTTCCAGTCTTACACGTTCTAAAAAAAGCTGGGTGAAACAAAAACTGAGTGAAACAAAAACGAAAAACTTTCAAGTAATTCTAACTCATGAGTTGTGAAGCCTTTAGGAAAAACAGGGAGTTATATATTAATTTCCCCAAATAACACATTCTGCTGACTCTTATGTTTAACAAAAACATGTTTTTCACATGTATTAAAGAACTCTGGGGGTCAGGCACAGAAGCTGAGGTTCCTGGAGGCTCCAGAGGCTGAAGCCCTATGCAACTCGGTAAAACCCTGTCTCTAAATAAAATACAAAACAGGGATGGGGATGTGTGTGGCTCAGTGGTCAAGTGCCCCCGAGTTCAACTGCTGGTACCAAAGGGAAAAAAAACACCCTGGGGGAGGGGACAAATATTGGTAAGTAAAAAGGTGAATAATTGATTTTTTTAAAAAAAAAGTCATCTTTTTATTTCATAAATTTGTAAATTGACCTGGTTATTCATAGTGTGCTTATTATGTAAGATGAGATGCTGTCAATCCTTACACACTAATTTTGACATTAGCATATCAGAGAAAGGCCAACAATCATAAATAATTTAATTTATTGAGCTGAACAAGAAAGGGAAGAAAATCAGGAATAAGTCAAAAGAAAAAAATAATAACCAAGTGGAAGTCCAGAAATAAATGCAAAATATAATAAAATTACATTAAATCAGTAATGTAAATATTAAACGTATCTCACCTAATCCAAACAGATAAAATGAAAAGACTGAGCTGAATATTTTTACTCCACAGCTGCATATTTCTACACTTTTATTCACTTAACCCCAAATACCAGTACCACTCTAATTCAAAACAGGCCAGAAGGACTTCTTAAGCACAAATTACTTCAAATTGTAAAGCTTCTTTTGTTTCTCATTAAACATTTACAAAACATTATTTAAAATGTAATACATTACGGTTTAATTAATTATACTTATCAAAAAGGATGTTTTACAAAATAAATATTATGTTAACTTCAGTTAAGCAAAGAAAAATATTAGCTAAAACATTTTCTTACCACTTTCACCACACAGGGTGCATCACTGCCAACCGATTTTGAAGAATTTCTATCAGCTGTTTAAAAAAATTAAATAATATCAGAACAAGTAATGTTATTATAAATATTATACCAATATTTAGATCTATATATCTGTAACCTCTTGATAGAGTAAGTTTCAGTTCCCAAATATGTGTTTCAGGATATTATCACAGCACATTTCGTCAATTTTAGGACTGTTCCATGTTTTAACATGTCTGAAACTAGAACACATCTTACAAACTCTGGTTTCTAGAATTTGATCAATTTAATTGCAGGAAACTCCAAGTTTATGTTAAATATTTCTTTAACTCAAAAGTATTCATGGCCTTTGACATTCTGACATGCATTGTGAATTCCCTGAAGAATAACTGATATAATTTTTAAATTTTAATAAACTATGAAATCTGTTTATAAGGAACATCTGAAAGGTATGAAAATAGGGAACTGAAGTTCAAAAACTCCTAATTTGGGAAAAACTCATCCAGATCAATACTTAAGGACGTATCGGAACTTTTAACTGCCATCCAAAATAATTTTAACATAACTGTCTTTTTATTTCATGCAAATAAAGAAGCACTGTTTTCTTAGAATACTGAGATAAGCGTATAACATTGCCCATATTCTCACTATTTACCAAATACCTCTTAAATGCCAGTTTCTAGAAAATAGGGATTTAGAAAAGATTCAGATAACAAATAAGTATGTTTGATGGCAGTAGGTACTAGGGGAAAAATTAAGCCAGCAAGGAAGGGAGGCAGAGTTACAGTGTAGAAGAGACCTTGTGGACAGCACTACTCAAGCACTGGTCTCAAGGGATCCAGGGAGTGAGCCTAGAGTACAGAGGGAAATGAACTCTAGGCAGACCAGCACAAAGGACTAGATGTGGGAGCATGCTAAACAAGTTTGTAACTGGGAGAGAAGAAATAAGGAGGTTAGAAAAGTGACAGGAGATATCAGAAAAGCAGCAGGGTTTAACAGGTAACATCAAGGTTTTGAGAAGGGGACTGGCAAGATCAGACTCATTTTGGTGAACAGGGGGCAAAAGCAGAATCTGGCAGATCAATGAGCAAGAAGTAATAGTAATCCAAGGGAGAAAAGAGTGACCTTGAACCAGTGTGAAAAACAAGAGAAGGTATTGATAATTGGTCAGACTGACCAGACATTCAAAAGAGAGCCAACAGGATTCATTGATGGACTGAAGGTAAAGGTTTAAGAGAGAAAAATGGAGGTATAGATGCCTCCATGATTTGGGCCTAAGCAACTGGAAAGAGGAAGTCGCTAATATGGAGAAAACTGCAGAAGGAACTCATTCTTTGGAGTATCTTAAGTTGCAAATGCTTATTAAACATCCAAGTTCAGATAGATGTTAAAAGGCAGTTGGATATTTAAATCTTGAGTTCAGTAGAACAGCCTAAGTAGGGAAAATATATTTGAGTGTCATCAACACAGATACACTATTTATTTAAAGCTCTGAGACTGGAAGAGATCCCCTAGGGAATGAGTGTAGAAAGAGGAAAGAAGGAATTCTAGGATTGAACCCTAAGGCACTCTCACATTAGAAGCTGATGAGATGAAGAGGAACAGGCAATGGAAACCAAGAAACTACAAATCAGCTGGAAAGCAGCAGTGTTTAGAAGGGCTGCAGCTAAAATACTTCAGACTAAGAAGAAAGACCAACTGATAAAAATGGCTAATATGGGCAGATGAAAAGGTTGAGCTCCTTGAGGAACAGTCCCAGGGAATGTCACTTGGATATTAAATTAGTAATAAAGCAGGTTCAGATTTTTTAACAGAATATTAAAATGAAGATAGCATCCCAATAATACTAGATAATTCAGATGAGGAAAGGTGGGAAGGAAAGCAAGCACAATAATTCACTCAAACAGTACGAAGTGCAAAATATGCCAGGCACAAGGAAAATAAGAGCTGTCCTCGTCAAGAAGTACCTGTTTATTCTGGAATTTAAAAAAGTAATTTCAAGGCATGTGGAAACTATTAAGCAAGGGTAAACACAAGGGAAACAAAAACATATAGTACCTGTTCTACACTTAGCTCTGAGGAGCAAGGAGCATCATATAAAGTTTTCAATGAGATATGTGCATTTCCATGTTTCTATGAAGCATTATATACAGTTGCCAAGACATAGAAACAACCTAAATGTCCATCAAGGGGAAGAATAGATAAATATGTGGCATATAATAGATATGGTTTGGATTTTTAAGTGTCCCCAAGGGCTCATCTGTTAAAGGCTTGGTCATTAGCTGATGGGGCTTATTAGGAGCTAGTGGAACCTTTCAGGAGGTGGGTCCTAGTGGAGGAAATGGGTTATCCAGCACATGTCCTTAAAGGAGCTGTTGGGACCCTGGTCCTGTCCTCTCTCTGCTTTCTTTCCATCATGAGGTGAGCAGCTTGGTCCTGCCACATGCTCCATGCCATGACATTATCACATTGGCAATTTTATTTTAACTATATGTTGAAATGATTTATATTGGATGTATTGGTTAAACAAAATAAATCAGTAAGTTTAAAAAAATAGGCAGCGGCAGCATATTCACAGATGAGAGACAAAGGGCAGACTGATGGCTGAAGCATAGATTTAAGGAAACAAAAGGGGTGAAAACAAACATATATAGGGTCCTGTATGCCATTCTTTAAAAAAAAAAAAAAAAAAAAAAAGCCTGGCTCTTTAAGGGCACTGGAGATCACTAAAGAGATTTAAACAGAATGATCAAATGATCTGATTGGCATATTAGGCCACTCAGGCCACACTATGAACAATGGGATGCAAGGAGGCCAGGACTAGATGAGAAGAAAGAATCTCTATGTCAGTGTGAGTCCAGAACAGACAAGATAATGGCCTAACCTAGGGTACTGGCAGGAAAGAAGGAGAGAAACAGATGGATTTGAGAAATCACAGTTAAAGCAATAGGAGTAGATAAGGTACTAGAAAAATTAATGAGGGAATATGCAAGAACATCTTCCCAGTATCTAGCTTAAATGGTTTCATTTATTCAGATAATCCTCTCCTAATCATGACAAGATCAGAAAATAAAATATGATATAAATGTAAGACATGTCTATGGGACATCCATCTAGGGACTTGTTGTAGGCCACTGGCCATGGGCCTGAATATAGGAAATCAAGCCCTAGGTTATAGATGAAAGATATGGAAATCAAAAATAAAGAGAAGTAACAAAAGCCATGAAATCTAATAAGATCAGTCTGAGAGAATACACAGAGGGATAAGTGAGACAAGGAAGGAGAGCTGAAGAACATATGAGTACTTAAAAAGAAGACAAAGCACAGCCAGAAGAAGAAAACAAGGGGGGAAGGTATAGTGTACCATGAAGACAATGGAAGCATTTTTTTGCAGGGGAGGGGGGAAGAAAAGATATACAGTATGGAATGCTACAGAGGAAAAAAAAAATGAAATTTCCAAGGCAATCTATTAATTTCATGAATAGACACTGAAAATGATCTTGAATATGGTGTTTCAATGTATAAGTGGGTACAAAGAGATGAACTAGAGGCAGCCATATTCAAGCAAATCTATTCTTTTTAAATTAGTCAACCCAGTTTTACAAAAGCAAAGTTTTACCACATAGTGATATAAAACCATTGATGTTAAAAAATAACACTAGATAGCACCTGTTAATAATACATACAAACAAAACATTTAACACACATGCAGAGCAAGTCTCAAATTTACAAAAGGTTATAAAATAAAGCAAGTTAATAGAAAAAGGGTCTACTTGTTTAGAGACAAGTTGCCATTAACAAGTCAAAAATCCACATATCCTGTAGTAGAGACAACTTAATATAACCTACCCATTTCTCTTAAACCACCTGGCTAATATATAGCTACTACTTCTTCAGGGTTTATGAAGATTTTCCCCTGAAGTCAAATACAGCCTAATTCAGTGGAATGGGTATGACTCTAAACAAGATCAAGGAATCAATACCTATTTTCCCAAAGACAAGTTTCCCCTGCCTATATGAATCTTATACAATGTATAAGATATAGAAAAACACCAATTTTGAAGCTATGTTTTATGAAGACAGGCCAAGAGACTGATGGCAGAGGAAGTTAAGGTAGGACCTCTCTTGAGTAAGAGCAGCTGCTATTTTACCTGTGCTGTGGTTCTCAAACTTTAAACACACTGCTGGGTCCTCTCCTACAGTGTTGAATGCACAGGTCTGGAGTAGGGCCTAAGAATTTGCAGTTCTAACAAGTTTCCAGGTAATTCTCACCTATGCTACACTATTAGCTTGAAAGAAAAAAAAAAGGTTCCATGGCTAAAAGTACCATTTCATAAACTTCCATGGAGAAATTAATAAACAGTTAAATAACTAAATTGAGATAAGGTGGGATAACAACAACAAATTGAAAATTTAAAGAGAAATATCAAAAGCTAATACAAAATGCTTTGTTAATACAACCCCTACTAATATTCTTGGTGAAGCAGAAAGCTTTAAAAATACTCAGGTAAAATATTTTTTAAATCAATAATTTATCCTACAGAATTTCTAGGTTCTAAATGTATCTCCAAAAATTTCAATGAAAGTACGTTAATTAGTCATTTGATCAAGCCCAATATGCAGTTTCCAGGTCATTCTCCTAATTCCATTACACTGATTATTTGGGCTGTGCAGGTGTGGAAAAATCCACACCTGTAAAAGACATGTAAAATTTGTCAAAGAATAAATTCTACTTGGGTAGATATGGGGGAGAAAAGAAGTATATAGCTTTGAGTCTCAAGACATTAAAATTGTATAAAATACCTTAAAAATCAAAGCCATAATGCACACTAGTGATAGTATGACATACATTTTATCCTCTTTTTCCACTGTGATTAAATGAGCAATCTTCTACTCTTGTGTCAGAGATGCATTTTTGCTTAATCATACAATATTAAGTTGACTGCAGATTATTAGGAACATCCAATAATAGCTCATTAATGAGAAACCATTTTGATAAGAAAGCACATAAATCTTTGGATTGATGATTAGAAGTAGTCATACACTTACCAAGATATATACAGCCAAAGCCACCTTGGCCAATGGGTAATCCTAGTTTCCATTCCTTTTTTGACATGTCAGTTATTATCTCCCCAGCTGCAAATTGTTCTGCAAGACGTCTCTTTGCAGGGCCCTGTCTTACAGCCTGAGCTGCTTTCACACGAGGCATTTTTCACTGTAAGACAGAACAAAGCAACACTCATAATTATAATCTCAGTAGTGTTCAAAACATTTTTCCTAAAGGAAAGCTTCTGTGCAGAGAGGTTGTTCGAATTCCTACTTATCCCAACACTTAAGTTAAGGACATCTGCTAATTCTGATTTATAATGGCTCAAATTCAATTTCATTATCTCTTAGCTTGGATAGGAGACTATAAATAAAATGATCTATGAAATTACTTTCAAGGAAAATATTTAGTTTTAAGTTTCAATTACATATCATCTACAATTAAAATGCTATTTTTAAAAAACCGTTCCATGAAGTTTAGGGGAAAGGTGCACCAAATAGAATGCACACATTATAGCAATGCCATGAGTAGTTTATAAAGGTTAACACTGATGTGACAGGTACACAATACTATTGTATTATGAAAACAAAATACAATTAAATACAACAAGCCCTTAGGAGAGCACTTAGGACACTAGATTAGATGCTTTAAGTAGATCTCATTCATTCTCAAAACTCTAAAGACCACATTATCACCTCCATTTAAGAGAGGAGGGAATTCAGGCTCAAGGTTAACCCTAAGCCTGGTGGTTGCAGCAGCACAGCTGTTTAATCTCCTTGAATTCCCCCCAACAGCAGACAGGACAACATAAAAGCAAAACTCCAAACCCACGGATAACAAAACGGGGGGCAAAATCTCTATCTCCAAAAACCCAGAATTTGAGCAGGTAAGACAAACCAGGCTGGACTACACAACTCTCCAAAGTAACCAGCCAGGCTCCACCCAAGCTAAAGAGAAAACGCTGAGGATACAATCCAAAGTAGCATGTCGAGGATAATACAAGGTTCTAATAAAAGTGCATCTGGGTATTAGCCTCCACATTTTAGAAGACTACACAAAAACAAATAGAGAGGGACCTCTAGAAATAATTCAAAGTCCAACTAAAACTAAATGTACATAAAGAAAACTACTTGTATACAAATCTCAGCAACTGAAAGGAATCAAGGTCTAGTCCCACACAAAATTGATATTAAGGGGAAAAAAGAACAAAGAAAATATCCCTTTAGAAAAACACTTCTTCCCAGAAAATTAAAAGCTATAAATGTTTCAAAACAAGGTAAATAAAAATTATATACAAAGATTAACAAGAATCATTATTAGAAAAGCTCATAAATTAAGTGGCAGGAAAAAAGTAATTAAAAATAAAAGGAGTTAGGTGTACATCTCAGTGGCAGAACCTCAGGTTCTACCCCCAACACCAAAAAGGAAAAAGAAAAATAGATTCAGAAATAAAGACTAAATTAGAAGGCAAGCAGGCTGAAAAGAAAAGTACTTTAGGCTTAAGAGAAACAGGGAAAAGAAAAAAAACAAAAACTCAGAAAGGGCAAAAAAGATGAGAAAGTGGTTTTTTTGGTTTGGTTGGGTAGTGCTGGGGATGGATTCCAGAGGTATTCTACCTCTGATCTACATCTCCAGCCCCTTTCTTTATTTATTTGTTTGTTTGTCTAGTTTTGAAACAGGCTCTAAGTTGCCAAGGCTGGGTTCAAACTTGGGGTGCTCCTGCTTTTGCTTCCTGAATCACTAGGATTACAGGTGTATGCCACAATATCCAGCCAATGAAAATGTTTCATGTGAAAAATCAAGAATTCATAAAATAAAGAAAACCAATACATATAATAGGAAAAATGAAAGTACAAATATTGTGAAGTGCTACTAACAGGGAAAAAGGTAACAAGAACCTAATACAGAACAAGTCTCAGATATCCAAAAGCACTAAGGAAACATCAATATCACTGCACACTAAATTAATAAATAGGCATACATATACATGTGTAGAACTGAAATGAAAAAAGGGTTACAAAGGAGACAATGGAGTACATAAAATGAGCTTATATCCAAACAATGCAGACATATTCCAACTATAAAAAGTGGGAGAATATATATATAAAAGCAGCAACTTTCCAGTAATCATACTGTAGTGATACTTGCTTTTGTTAACTAAAGCTATTGTGTCCATAAATGTGGAAAGATGAAAATAAGTAAAATAGCCCCTCACTAATCCTTTCAGTTATCCAAGGATGAATAAGGTTTAAAAATATTAAATGGAAAATTCCAGAAATAAACAATTCATCCATTTTAAACTCCATGCCTTTCTGAGTAGCACGATGAAATCTTGAGTCATACCACTCTGCTCAGACCTACACGTTTCATCTTTTTATCCACTGTGTCCATGCTGCATACCCTCAGCGCCCATTAGTCATAGCAGTCATCTTGGTTATCACCATGGACTGTCACAATAATGCAATGCTTTTGTCCAAGCAAAAGAGGTGAGCAGTAGTAGCCTAAGACCACTTCATAATGTCCAAGTCACTTCATTTCATCAGATAGGCACTACAAGAAGAAATAAGTGTAGTACTTATAATGTTTTGAGAAAGAGACACACATAACTTATTAAGGTATAATTATAATTCTGCCACTGTTATAATTTTTTTATTGGCCTTTATTTTGTTCATTTATTTATATTCGATGCTGAGAATCAAACCCAGTGCCTCACACATGCCAAGCAAGAATTCTACCACTGAGCCACAGTTCCAGCTCCATAACTGTGGGGGTTTTTTACTACTTATTTTTTATTTATTTATTTTTATGTGGTGCTGAGGATTGAACCCAGGGCCTTGCATGTGCAAGGCGAGCACTCTACCACTGAGCCGCAACCCCAGCCCCTTCATAACTGTTTTATATTAATAGTTATTGTTGTTAATCTCTTACTCTAGATTTTATGACAGGTATGTATATAAAAGAAAATACATAGTATATGCAGTATATCTGTGGTTTCAGGCATCCACTGGGGATCTTGGAATGATTTCCCCTGTGAATAAACGGAGACTATTGTAATAAGTAACATTCTTATTCTATTATCCTTGGTGTCTTTAAAAATCACAATTCAAATTTGGAAGAAAGGAGATATAAATGAGAAAAATGGAGAAGTACATTAAAAATGCTGAAAATACATTTAGGGCTGGGGATGTGGCTCAAGCGGTAGCGCGCTCGCCTGGCATGTGTGCAGCCCGGGTTCGATCCTCAGCACCACAAACAAGGATGTTGTGTCTGCCAAAAACTAAAAATAAATAAATAAATATTTTAAAAATTTCTGAAAAAAAGAAAATACATTTAATTTATAAGACAGTTCACCTTTTACAAAAAGTACACACATTCATATGTATACGAAACTTTGTACTCCCTATGCCTATTCACAAAAAAGTTTAGATATAATGAGCAACCCAGAAAGAACAAACATCCTGGTGGTGAACTGTAAAGAAAACTGTTTCCATTAGAAGAAACTAGGTATCTTTAATTATTGATTCCAGTTCTGGAGCTGAAAATCTCTAAGAGAAGCTTAGGACATCTTGTAATACTAAATGGCAAGAAAGTTATCAAAAACCACCAGGGTTTATATAAAATAGTCTAAGGAGCCAGTTTCAAAGATACTCCAACTGAGGGGAAAATTTGAGTCAGTAAAAATAATAATCACAATGCGTTTAAACACATAAAATGGATATATCCAAGAGTTCACAAAAGAAATCCTAATGAATAAATTTTAAGAGAATAACAGGAAACCAATTCATTATAAAAACTGGCAAAGTGAGAAAAATCAAGGTTTTATCCTCTTTCATGCATGAATTGTACCACTGGGTAAGCAAATAGAAGACAAAGAAAAATTTCTCTTTAAGAAATATTTCAGCTAATAAAAAAGAATGGTTTTAGATTAGTATCATTTTCTCCAATTCCATCTCCTAATGAATTAATGGATCCGGGCAATAAGCACTGGTAGCAACTACCATGGAAATAAGAGGGAGATCCACTTGTCTCCTGATTCACACCACCACCCATAAAGCAATTACACCAAAACATAAACCAAAACCAAACAGAACTTGAATCTGATCAAGGCTACTAATTTACAAGATACAACGAGAAGAACATGATAAACTAATAAAGGAATGTGATCAGTAAACTCCTGTGGGAATCCTGAAGCACATACAATTTTCAACAAATGAAGGAGGAACCAGAATAGGGAAGAAGGAAACTGGACTTTAAAAAACTTAAAATATCTAAAACAAAAGAAAAAGCAGGTAAATTTAAACCACAGTACTTAGGGGATGCAAGTTAACAATGAAAATAAGAAAGCGGTTATCATAAAAGATAGACTTTACTTGGGGTAAGCATGTGGAAATTGTGACTAGGATGGGGGATGTGGCAGGCAAAGTTTTATTTCTTGATTAAGATGGTGCTCATGAGACCACTTTGAAAGATACATTCATTAAACCTGTTTGCTTGATAAAGTTTTCCGTATTGTATATAATTTTAAACATTAAAAAACTACTCCTCCTATAATTAACAATCACTAAGGGATCAAAACTGGAAACCTTTTTATACTCAGTAAGCTCATCCCATTCCCAGTCAACAAAAAGAAAAAAGACTTCTAAGCAAAATCTGTACTTCATTTCCTGTGAACTATTAGTGAACTGTGTTCATTTTCTTTCAGACTGTTATTCTCGCTTTTTGTTGATAGGCAATTCTTATATATTACGTATTAAAGAAATTACTTCTTTGTATTGCAAGTAATATTCCCAACTTATCTTTTCACATTGTTTATTTTTAGCTTTTGGATTTTATGACACCCTCAGAAAGACCTCCACTGTTAAAAAAAATTTTTTTAATGGCTCTCATGTTTTCTTTTATTATTTTATGGTATATATTTTGCTGGTAAAATTTTGATCTGTCTGTATTTATTTTGGTATGAGGTAGGAAACCAGCTTTTTCCAAATGGTTATTCAATTTTGTTCTTCTTTTTCTCACTTCTCATACACATCAGGGAAACCCACAGTGCTCAAGGAATTTAAATATACCTTAGCAACCCAAGAAAACCAAGGACAAAAAATATTCACATAAAAGTGACTGGCAGGAGACAGGGCATGGGGAAGGAACCACCCCTTATGACTCTCAGCTCCACCAAGGACTCTCTTAACATTCTACCTGAAGCCCCTTCCTTCAAGGGAAAACTGGGTCATCCTGTGGTTAAAGGGAGAAATGTAGAAGACCACAAAAGGAATTCAAGATGAAGGGAAAGTCTTCCAAAGACCTTCAGTCTATGCAATAGCCCAGGAACTGACCTAAAGTTAACTTATTACTAGTTAGCATATCATTAGCATTGCAGTTTGCTTCCCTCTATGTGGGGGGTGAGGGGACACTTATGCATGGGTAATAAAGAAGAAATTATGCCAGGTTTTGTTATCAATCAAGGAGTCAATCAACCCCAGATCCACCCCAGGAAAAGGTGGAAGAACTAACACTGCCCAAATAAAATCCAAAATCCAAAAGTAAAAGTGAGCTCCACTGTGTAGATGGGATCCCAAGTTACTTTGCAGCTAATCCATCTACTCTCACAGAGTGTTTTCTCTCAATATCAATAAACCTTTATCTTGCTTGTTAACCTCTCAGTTCTTGCTCAATTCTTGGCTCAGGACGCAAAGATCCTGGACCCAAGACCCCCTAGGGGATCCTGGCCTTGCTACAAGAACAAAAGTATTAACATATAGTTCCTAGCTAATTGATTTCTTTGAAAAAAATCAAAGAATGAAAAACATCAATAATATTTGAAACTAACTTTGTCCTTGGGTTAAAAGCATACTCACACCTAAGTTGGCTCCACATGAATGTTAAGGAATCACTGACATATACTCTGTGGCTCAGACAAAAAGAAGTCACTATGACACAGAAATATTTCTTTAAAATGTACCTAGATGAAACTCCTACATATGGCTCCTAAGGAAAAAAGACGTGGAAGACTCCCTTCTGCTGCTCCCTATAATCTCAGGATGACCTCAGGCAACCAATAGCCATGTCAGTGCTCAGGGGCCACTTCTCATGGGTGCAAGAGGCTCAATGACAATGTATTAGTAAACAAGCATTTACTCAACATCTTGTCTCTTCAAAGTGTTGAGAGTCATAAAAAAATGTAAAGAAATGCAGTTAGTATACCACATATTTGTAGAGGGCATTTCAACATAACTGTTCCTAGAGGGGAAAAAAAATTATATTTGGTGATGATGATTCTTTAATGTGCTTCTGGGTTATTTCTATTTGTTAACATTTTATTTAGAAACAAAATTCATGGGGCTGGGGATGTGGCTCAAGCGGTAGCACGCTTGCCTAGCATGCGTGTGGCCCGGGTTCGATCCTCAGCACCACATACAAACAAAGATGTTGTGTCCGCTGAAAACTAAAAAATAAATAGAAAAAAAAAATAGAAACAAAATCTATAAGACTGATCTATAGATTAATTGTCTTCTGTCATATTTAGGTATTAATAAATATGCTCACTTCACAAAAAATTTCTATAAGCTTTTCTTCTTTTAACACAATCTAAAATATCAAAACAGCATTTAAATATCTATTCCTTAAAGGTTTTTTTAAAGACATCAACTGTGAAAGTCTGACAATACCAAGTGTTGGTAGAAGGTAGAACAACTGGGACATTCTTTACCATTTCAACCATTTTGAAAAATGCATTTGACAGTAGTTAATTAACTGACCTAGCAACTCTTCTATGTATATACCTAGGACAAATGAAAATATATCCATCAAAAGACAAGTACAAGAATAATAGCAGCTTTTATCACAATTGCCACAAACCGGGAACCCACATATCCATTAACAAGAAAGCAAATATAACACAATGGATTAACCTCCCAAACACTATGTTATGGGGGAAAAAAAGCCAGACAAGAAGAAATACTATATGGTTTCATTTATGTGAATTTCAATAAAAACAAACCTAATCACTGGTGACAGAAATCAAACAGCGGATACTTTTTCGGGAGGAAATGACTTAAGAGTTGGAAGAAGACATCATGAGGAAGGCACCTCAGGATCTGGCAATGTTTTAAAGCCAGTCTTGATGATACTTAAATTGTATGTTTACCTCCTAAAAGTTAATCAAACTGTACACTTGTGATTTATTTCACTCTATTTATGCAAAATTAATAGTAAATTACACAAATCATGAGTTATAACAGGGTTCACTCAAAAGACAGAAAACATAAGTAATTTAAACAGAATCTAATATAAAAATTATTAATTTATAAAAGGTGGTCAACCACTAAAGGGAATAAAAAACAATTTTAAGGAATGTGGGAATAGAAAATGGAGGCAAACGGTTACTATTTCAAAGGCTAAGTCAAAGTACCCAAGAGAGTACTCTTCATTGGAGTGGTTGTGGCAATACCCTGCTGGGTGGTAGAGTTTTCTGGAGTACTGGTAAGCTGGAAGCCGGTCCATTGGAGAGTACTGGTGGGAGCAATAAGCTGCCTACTGCAGTGCTAAAAACACAG